TTACTTTTATATTTTTTTACTTTTTTCGTTATATATTTGTTATTTTACTTTATTATATTCGTTATTATCAACATAAACTATGAATAATCTATTAGACCTCAATGAAAGCTTATTCTCTTGCTCGTCGTCAACTAACAGTTTTGTAAGCGTGGACGCCGAATCTTCATCTGAATCAATTACTCTGCTCAATCACATTTCTTCTGTATTTTCTTAATACCTTGAAAACTTAAATATTGCCCACATCAATGCGCAAAATGTTCCTGGCCACTATTCTGACCTTCTGGCATCCATTACTCTCTATACTCACTTCCTAGTTATGTATTAATACGCAATGGCCGAGTGGGCAAGGATGGTGGAGGTGTTTCTATTTATCTGCGTGCTGAAATACTTATTAAGGTGATCAGTACATCTCCACAAATGTATTCTAACTCTGCAGAACGCTTTTTTTGGAAATTACTCTTAATCACACACAAATAATACTAGGAGTTCTTTATAGTCCTAACCTTCATGTTAATTATTTTGACGCATTTGAAAAATTACTTAGTGAGTTTAATTTCTTACATAATCATGTTATCTTGATGGGTAATTTCAATACATGCCTAATCAGAAATGACCACCGTGCGAATAAGCTGCAATCACTTTTGTCCTCTTTTAGTCTTCAGATCCTACCTCTTTCAGCCACTCACCACTTCCCAAACTGCACTCCATCTCTCCTTGACCTAATTATTGTCTCTTCTCCAAATAATGTTGCCAGTTATGGACAACTAACTGCTTCTTTCTCATACCATGACCTTATCTATTTGTCTTACCGTGTTCGACCTCCGTAACGTAAGTCAAACTTTCGACTCATTCGAAGTTACAGAGGCATTAACTTGGAGGCCTTAAGACATGACGCTAGTTTAATAAATTGGACGCCGGTGTTTATTAGCCAAACAGTAGATGACACAGTGAACAGCTTTAACAATATCGTTCTTAACTTATATGTCTCATATTAACTCGTCTGGAAAACACTGGCATTACATATCAATGGTTTAAAAACTATTTGACTGACAGAGAACAAAAATTGAGGGTAGATCGACACTTCAGTAATGAAATGCCATATAGCTACGGTGTTCCGCAAGGAAGTACACTTGGGCCGACTCTTTTTCTTATATAAATGCGGCGCTGTCGTCACACCACAAGCGAAACACACCGAAGCCTAAATCACGCTATCAACATTCCGAATCATAAACAGTATATATAGAACATCTCCAAACTATGACACGGAGCGTTGGCCGCTCCCCGGGCATAACACCTTGCCCGGCGGGAGATCTCCCCTTTTCCTTCCACGGCCACAGTGGTGACCCCGACGTGATCTGAACACGCAAGCAACAACCTTCGGAAACTACAACTTCAAGCCTTCGGTATTATCCTCAAGAACTCCTACCATTCACTATTGAGAATCGTCTTCTGCAGTCTTCAGTTCCTGCAAGCCAGTCCAACTTGTCTTCGTCTCGACTCACCGCAGATTTATAAGGCAGACTACTGACACCTGCTCCGGCACATCGTTCTCACCGGCATCACTTGCCAGTGCGTAGTACGGCATGCATTACACATTGGCATATTATTCGTACCGGTGTCACTTGCCTTTACGCACACAGCATGCATTCCCCACCGGCATTAAGGACGCACCGGCAATCGGACTGCACTGGCGACCTCCGGTCCGAGTAGGGGGGTGATATGGCGGCGCTGTCGTCGCACCACAAGCGAAACACACCGACGCCTAAATCACGCTATCAACATTCCGAATCATAAACAGTATATATAGAACATCTCCGAACTATGACACGGAGCGTTGGCCGCTCCCCGGGCATAACACCTTGCCCGGCGGGAGATCTCCCCTTTTCCTTCCACGGCAACATATATATTGATGGTCTTTGCAGATTGAGTATAGGTGGATGCAATCTTATGATGTTCGCAGACGATACTCTGCTTTTTTTTCATAGACAGACAGCTGGACAGAACTACGCAATCTATTTGAAAAGGAATTAATCATGGTTAGAGGACAACCTTTTGTCTTTGAATACCTCTAAAACTAAATATTTATGTTTTAGTAAAACCAAAGCTTTTCTCCCTTCTTCTTCTTCTTATCTCTCTTCTATCTTAAATTGCGCATACATACTTACCCCTGTAATAGGCAACAATCTGGTAGTAGCGCTACCTGTGATTGCGAATAGTTGAGTCAAGCAAACGCTGTAAAATATTTGGGTATAACTATTGACAATCACCTGCGATGGGTTTTACATCTTAATACAGTAGCAGGTCGTATAAGGAAACCTATATATCCTATGAAATGCCTTCGTTCTATTGCTGACCACAAACTCCTTATGAACGTGTACAAGGCTTTGGGAGAATGTATCATCAATTATTGTATGGTTTCATGGGGTGGTGTAGCTAAATTCCAAATGATAATTGTTGAAAGAGCCCAATAAAAATGTTTAAGCTTCCTTTTCGCTATTCAACTGAAGCACTTTACCCAAATGCCCAGGTACTTAACATTAGAAAGCTATTTATTAAACAAATTATAAGGAGATACCATCGATGAATTCCACTGCCACAACCTAATATTCTTCAACGCCAATACCGAGTCCCATTACCTTTTGTTGGACGTGCCCTTGCTCGTAGACAATATGAAAAACTAATAATTGACAAACAACTTGAAAGAGAACTTTAATTAATTAATTAATAGATTAAAACTACTTTTACGGATTTTATCGCGTTTATTTTACTATTATTTTTAATTCCCGATGTTTCGGATATATTATAGGACAAACAAAAAGATCAATTAGAACCCGCGTAAAAGAACATATAGCTGATGTGGCCGGAAGGTCTGCAGTTTGCGATCATATCTTAGACGGCCCCAACCACAACCTTACATCAGATTTGATAGGCCACAAATCCTCGCGAAAGAACACCGATTCCTACCAAGGATGATACGTGAGGCTATTAAAATTAAAAAACATCCTAATTTCAATAGAGAAGGAGGCTGGGTACTACCACCTACTTGGGATCCTATAATCAATAAAATTAAAACTAAACCCAAGCATACCACTGCAAGAACTCAGGACTGCAGTTCATTTTGCATAAATCGGACCATAAACAATAATTAAAAAAGCTGAAGGTACTCCGGGTTTAACAATGACATCGGGACGTCAGTCATCTCAGTCCCCCGTGACCATGGGTGCTGGAAAGCTCCCGAAACGTCGGGAATTAAAAATAATAGTAAAATAAACGCGATAAAATCCGTAAAAGTAGTTTTAATCAATGTGTAGTGTTCGCGTAAATATAAGAAATCATTAATTAATTAATAATAAAGTGAGTAAACTCTATGAAAGTAAGTCGGGCCTACTGGAAGAAACTTCATTATGAGATAAGTAGAGCCCTTGTACAAACTCTTCGTCAAGATGTGTCCTCTCCATTGCTTGTGTGAACATAAATTGTTAAATAAATAAATAACAAACATAGTAGTAGTAGTTTTACTTTACATATACGAACTTTCACACTTTTCACCAAGATGTTCAGACAGAGACTACGGACTTTTGTTTGGTACAACACACTCACTTGCTTCTTCCACGTCCAAACACTCTTAATTTGGTCCATCTTTAATGAAGCGTGATTGATAAACCTCCGTCTGAGGTATTTCTTGCTGATTCTTTTGTTTTAAATGTTACGTATATAAATTGCCCAAGGATAAACATCCAGACCCGTAACAATATTTGCGGGTCATATAAATACTTATTCCGTGCGGGATTCAAACCCGTGGCCGTAACTCATTGCTAACTAGCCACGGAGCTGTTAGACCTGCCACTAACTTCAGAAGCATAGATTTGCTTTCTCACTTTTTCCTTATTCATTCTTTCTCCGTATTCAAACCAACGAAACATTCCTTTCGTAAAGTTAGCCTTTACACAATAAAATTTCTTCTATCATAACGATTTTTTAACTTCCCGCTAAGAAAATTTTAAAATTTTCTAAGATCAGATCTCGACGTTTTGAGATCCCCGGAACCTATTCTGACTAACTTCATCATTCGTACGGATGTATGTGTGTGTGCGTGCGTGCGTGCGTGCGTGCGTGCGTGCGTGCGTGCGTGCGTGCGTGCGTCGTGTGCGTGCTGTCGCGTGCGTGCGTGCGTGCGTGCGTGCGTGCGTGCGTGCGTGCGTGCGTGCGTGCGTGCGTGCGTGCGTGCGTGCGTGCGTGCGTGCGCCGGTGCGCGTGCGCGTGCGCGTGCGTGTGCGTGCGCGTGCGCGTGCGCGGGCGCGGGTGCGGGCGCGGGGTGTGTGTGTGTGTGAGTGTGTGTGTTTGTGACGTCTTGATCGATTGAGACGGGGTTTCGTCGTCGTGCGTCGTTCTAAGGATCTCAATGTGGAATAGATGTGGTGATAGTATGAACTCATTCTGACGAGTAGATTTTGAGAAATCTCAAAAATAAAAATATTGAAAAACTGTTTTTTGGTATAACTTTTAAACGGCTCTAGCGATCGATTCCAAAAACAAATCAGCTCTTAACCTCAAAAAAATGACGTCGAATGCCGTTAAGAATATAAAAATCGGTTCATTCGTTCGTGAGATATTAAAGGAGAAAGAATTTGAAAAAAAAACGTTTTTTTTAACATAACTTCGAGATTTCGCAAAATAATTTGGTGAAATTTGGAGAGCTTTGTATTTGAAATTAGCGGGAAGTTCCAGGGATTGACCCGCAGGGTCAACCAATTTTTTTAAATATATTTAAAGTGACAAGTGAACTTAAAGTCCACCTGATAGTAAGCCGTTACTGCAGTCTATAGATGCCTGCAACCAACTTAACTTAGCAAATAAGGCTACAGGTGTGTTGTAACCTCTGGACTAAGATGGAATGCCTGACAGCCTATAAATATACTATCTAACTAGCATCTATCATTGCCAGTCAAACAACTGTGTTGAAAATACTGCAAACTTTTTATATTATTTTAACAACGTACCTGTAAAACTCCAGCATCGGATTCTTTGAAGAAACTCTCGATGCCGCGACATAAGTCAAAAACTTTCGGGTCCGAAGACATCATCTTGCCCCACACAGCTATTCCACGTTGCTGTAGATTGTTTATAATAACACGAATTAAGTAATTTTACCACACAAAATAACTGGCGAACGTTAAACGGTAAATATATAAATCCACACATCTGATTTTAAGGCTCAATTTACATTGGGGCGGAACGGAAGTGTCAATTTCGCCTCGTCGTAAATGAAGGCGCGCGAATTCGCGAAAATGCTCAAGCATTCCCACGACTGCACCTTGAGACTATAGAGGACGAGTTATTTAGTCTAGATTTTTTATTTGACAAGAATGGTTGATTAGATATTATTTTCATATTGCTTATTTGTGGGGCAGAAGAAGAAGAAATTGATAAGAAAAGAAAGAATATCGAAAGAAAAGAAATATTTGGGTTCATGAATTATGGAAGAAACGAAAAATTCACCTTTGGCGCCACTTCCCACGGATTCCACAGACTGCGCCGATATCCTCAACATCCTCGAGATCCTGGACATCTTCGAGAATGTTTGTGTGTGTGAATAACTCGACTCGATCATTGAAAATGCGCGAAAATTCCCCGGAAGACGCGCGTCTTATCTAGTTCGTACGTTACTCACCTAACATAAAACTCATTTTACTATGTACAATTTCGTTACCAAAATTCGCTTCCACTTCGTTTCGCGGCAATGTAAATTAAGCCTAATAGATAAATCTTTGAAGAAAATGTTTCAAAATATTGCAATGAACTTCAGACACATGCGCACAAGCGTTTAAAATCCTACCGCTGGAAGTCCTCTCCGTTACAGGAAGGAAAATTATTATTAATCGCCACGCTTGCCTAGCGTATTGGCAATCGCAGTACCAGACGTCTCGCATAATTAATAATTTTCACAAATGTCATAATGTTAAACAGTAATAAATTCTTACACGTGGTAGAGCCACGCTATAGCTATATTATGGTTGTAGGTTGGATCGGCTCGACCGGGGAAGGACCACGCTCTAACAGAATATCAGCGTGAATTAACAGCTTAATGCTACTGTGTTTCGTATGGTGAGTGTAGAGAATCGGAGACCCGTTTTTCTGGAATCGAGGCATTCCATCTTAGTCCTCAAGGGTGACAACGTGTTCGAGGTTAAACGTAGATGTCTATGGGCCACAGCATCCACTTACCATCAGGTGGACTGTATGCTCGTTTGTCACCCTTATCTTATTAAAAAAGTAACAAATAAAGAAATATATGTGATTATGTAAATGTAAAATTCTACTACCCACATTGTCCCGAGAGTGTTGTAAGAGGTGACAGAGGAAAAATGAAACTGGATGGGCAGAACCATCTTCCTGATAACAACTCGAAATAATAAAAAACTGCGGGTGTCAACCTGCTTGCCAAGCTTGGCGACTATGGCAAAATCCCCCCATGAGACTATCTATGTGGGAGGCCTATGTTCAGCGATGGACTTTTATAAACTGTAATTAATAGCAACGAATACTCAAAAATTCTTACATCGTTTGTTTAGAATTAAAATTAGGATGAACGAGCGTTACAGAAACACGATTACCGTTACCGTTACCGTTACCGATACCGTTACAACCTATTAAAAGTCCACCACTGAACATTGGCATCCCTCTGCAAAAAAATTGTAGGTCACTCATTGGCAAAAAAAACTATTCTATCTCTCAAGTTGGACCAAACTGCACACTGTTTTCAAATTTGATTAAAATCGGTTAAGTAATTTAGGAGTCCATCGCGGACAAACAACGTGACACGTAATTTATATATATTAAGATGTGTATTTGGCATAGTTGCTACGCTTTGCGGGCAGGTTGGCAACCTTATTTTTTTTTAATGTAATTGTCATCAACGTCTTCCTTAACGTTGCTAAATAAATCTCAGGAGATTGGCAGCAACGTTTGCGTCCCTCTGTCGTCTTTTACGATACTTTCGTTATGATATGTGGTAATTGATTTTCTTACACCGCCGATAAACGGTCAAGGCAGTTGGTGCACAGATACATCAGTTTGAAAATGTCGACGGTGTCATAAACGGTAATTTTTCAAACGTTCTCATTTTACAAACAATTAGTTAATAGCTGGAGGACGCATTCAAATAGCCGGAGAAACTTCTCGCTGATTAATGAACGCAGTACTCTCTCACATTGACTAATATAAAAGATGCTTTTAAAATGCACTAGGAAACATGCATTTTAAATAAGTTCCTCATACGCAATGGATAGGCGGATTGGTGAACCGATACCTATGCACTTAACAGTGCTGCTAATCATCGCCAGTTTGTGGGATTTGGGTCACAGTCGAAATAAAAAAAATAATAATTTTGGTTTAAAATGGCAAGTTTAATTTTTGAAGCAGCAATAAACCGGCCAAATAACTCGAAGAACCGACAAACGATGGAGAAAAAAGTTCTCGAGTGGCAGCCTCGTATCGGTAAGCGAAGTGTAGGACGGCCTTCCACTAGAGGAGTGACGACCTGGTAAGATATGCAGGAAGTCGATGGATGCAAGTGGCTCAGGACCGTGCTTTGTGGCATTCCTTGGGGGAGGCCTATGTTCAGCAATGGACTTGTGACGGGCTGTAATGAATGAATGAATGAACTCTGGTTTGAAGTTATTCTGAAAGTCAAAATCTACAACGATTTGCAAAAATAAGACCTTCTCAAAGAAGTACCGGCAAGACATCTGAGATCCCTTTGCAAAGTGCCATATCATAGTTCCAGCTTTGATGTTATGCTGAAAGCTGAAATTGTTCTTTAAGATTTTATCATGACAATTATGAAACAAAAATAATGAAATGCCCTACTAAAGAGCACCTTTACGAACTTCACATTATTTTTATTTCTCAGAAAGTCAGGTTTTATTACAATGATATATGTTATCCAAATTTTTCATAACCACCGAAAGCTCTATGGATCAGCACTACGCAATTATTATTCGGAAGTTATTTTTTTAACGATTCCGTTACAGTCTATTAAAGTCCACTGCAGAAAATAGGCCTCCCCCAAAGATTGCCTCATAGTGGAAATATTTTTCATTACAAATATGGAAACGGCTTTTAGCCTAGCCTCATTGATATATTAGAAATCCTAGTCTAAGAGTATATAAAAACAAACGATTACCTTATGCTTATATTCCTTGTCACGTATTCTAAAAATTTCATTAAGTTCCCCGAGTACCAAGCGTCTGATCGGTCCACCCCTTTCCACGAGCGATTCCTGATGGTTAAAGAAATAGAAATAGAAACTTTTTTTATTCAATGTAGATTATAAAAATACTTATTGAAAGTCACTTTTTTTTAATTTACCACTGGTTCGCAAAAAAAAACCTCTGTCCTGGGAAGAACCAGCAAGAAACCCAGCGGGACTATTTTTTTTAATAATAGCTTACAATCATGTTTACAATCAACAACACAAGACAAATTAGAAATAGCTTGGTAGCGATCACCCTTCCCAGGGGTTATTATCATCTATAAATTCCTTAATATTATAATAACCCTTTTTATACAAACTTAGTTTAATAACATTTTTGAACTTTATGTATGACAAATTTTGTATATTTTCTGGGATTTTGTTGTAAAAGCGTATACATCGCCCCAAGAATGAATTACTGACTCGGTGGAGTCGAGTAACTGGTACTACCAGCTTGTAGTACCAGTTACTCGAAGTAACTGGTACTACAAGCTGGTAAGCTATAGTATATAACTGGTACTACAAGCTGGTAGCTATAGTAAGGATATAAATAATAGAGTTAGAATATTATATTAAATTATTATAAGTTTGAGAGTCTTCGATAGTATATGAATATTTAAAGATGAAATAAATATGACTTACCCTGTATAGATTATAACCCAAATCCAGTGTCTCGTCAAGGATATCCTCGTTCCATGTTCTAGCTCGCATTCGACGGAGCATCGCCAAAGCCGCTACGCAACAAGCGATGCCTGTATAGGTTTTGAAGGTTTGGTATCTGTAAATTATAAAATCAAACTTGGAAACCAATCCTCTTTGCCGATTTCCTTTGCCGCTACGAACGTTGCGCAGTGGTGGCGGTTAAATACAATCCACCACCCCGTATCATGGGTGTCGTAAGATTTCACAGAAGGAAACTAAAACAGAAGATGGGTAGCAGTATCTTCGTAATAAAAATAAAAATAAAGGTGGAGTGATCAATCATCAAAAAAAGATCATTTTTTTTAGAGGGCAAACGAGCTTGCCGCTCACCTGATTGTACGTGATAACCGCCGGCCATGAACAACAAAAGGAATTGCAGGTGGGTTGCGGGTCATTTAAATAAATTTAAATAAATTATTATTTTTGAAGGGCTCTAAGTATCGGTCTGGAAAAATAACTAATTACTACACTTTTCGCACCTTTGCGCCATTTTCTGCCGTCGGTTTCTATAGTTAAGATCAGGCGTAATTAAGTAGTTGAGATAATAATTGATAAAAATATTATAATCTGTTATATACATGCTGGAAAAGATTGCATGATCATGTCTAAGTACCTAGGTCTTTAAGCAAGAATTTTTATTTTTACTTTACCAACTACCCTATTTTTGGCGATATATGTATTTACCCTATTTTTGGCAAATAGAGAAAGTTAAATTTGAAATTGAATTTGCTATCAATGGACTATTTGTCTTAAAATTTAAATTCCGATAAATCGTTCGATGTTTTGGCTGGTGAGAAGCACCCAGAGACGTGGGTGTACGGTATGTACGCTGCGCCCCGTCCATTGTCCTAACGGTTTATGACACTAGGTGGGAGTCCGTGTGCAGAGACTAATGGATCTATAGCTGGAGGCTTTCCCTGGTTTCTGGATTACTATAACTTCCGCCTCTTTCCAAACGTCCGGGAAGGAGCAGCTGGAGAAAAGAACGTTGCAAATGCCTAATAGGAGGCAGACATGTGGCGCTAAGAGAGATTTCAGCACCATCCTACTAATGCCGTCGGGGCCGGTTACTGATCTCTTGGAGTTTTTGATTACTCTGACTTCGTCGACAGTCACAAGATCTAGGGGGCCACCCGCAGATGGTAGTGCAGACTTACGCTCGACTTTTAAAAGGTGAGGAGAATCTAAAGATTCGCTAGCGGGAGTGTTTTGACTCTCTAAACAGTCCGCGAAGCGTTCGACCTTTTCAGAGTCGTCAAAGGCGACATCGGGGTTTCCTGGCCTAATAAGAGGCGGCATTGTTGGAGTCTGTTCTGCTTTTAGAGCTCGGATCAACTGCCAGTAGTTTTCTGGTCTAGGATTTTGTCTAAGTGCTGGGAGGTCATAGACTTGAGTTTGACCTTGAGCTTACAGTAGTCTACGATGGTTTTGGTCTGAAGGACCTCAACAGCGGACTGGTCCGAGTTTAATTCCAAGATTGTCTCGAACGATGATATCGACAACGTGACAAAGTGACAACGTGACTTGTCTGGTCGTTCTCTGGTAGAGAATGGGTAGCGTGTTGGAGTCTCAGGCGCGATAACATCGAAGTTTAGTCGTTCCGTGAGTTTGAACAAGGTCGTGCCATTCGTGTTCAAACAAGAGCGGGCCAAATTGCATAATTCAGCAAACGTTGATGTGCTGATAAAGTCGCAGACTAATGAGAAATTGATGACGAAAGAGGAAAAGCCTTTTGGGACGGGCTTCGGCTCTGGGGCCTAGAAAGACGGCATTGGCCGTGAGGCGACCAGTGCCGGAGGCTTTATCCAAGCATTGGGCTTCAACGCGGGAGGCGTGGGAACCCAATGCATAGCTTGGCTTTTGCAAACAAAATTCATGACCCGTGCGTCCGGAACGGCTTTTACCTCCGCGCTGTTTTCTTCGAGACGCTTTGGAGCACCCGCGATACTTCGCTGGATATCTCTCTTCACCGTAATTAACGCAGCTCGGAGGACCGACCATCTCGGGCGTGCGGGTGCCGTCAATAGAGCCATGGCCATGGCACTGGCCAACGATGCTCCTATTTTTGGGGGGCTTCAACTGCAATCAACGTTAGGTTGCAGATGCGCCGAACGTTAAAATTCTCCTTGCATTCTTTATACAAGTCCAGAATGACAAGACAAGTAGGACTACAAACCATACATATTTTATCGGTCTGGCGGTGCGTTCTGTGCACCTGCCAGATCGGGAGATTTTGGGCTTTCAGATCGTTCAGCTCGTGGACGGTGTCGAGCTCCTTGGGGAGTCCGACCGACAGGTCCGACAGGTACGACCACGCGAATGTTACGTGCCTCCCGTAAGGCATAATGGTGAAAACTTAATTGTTGGGCGCGCAGGTTGTTCGTTACACTGCGGAAGTCTCTCTGTCCTCAAAGAAAATTCTTATACCCTGACCGGCATTTTGCACCTTTGGGCAGTAAATCTTTTTGGAGTCCAACCAATTGAAATGATTATTCCTTTTGCTCTTGTTCTGTACAATGATGGTTGGTGGCGGCTTTTCCCCACGTTCAGCAAGGTACCCTTTTGCTGCGGGCTTGGTGGGTTGAGCGCGTGCCGCAGGGCCCGGATTTTTTTGCCGAAGTGGCGTTGGGGGACGAAGGGGCGGAGTGAGACTCGGCCGCTTTTTGGGCGCTGTGCATTTGCGTTTCTTGTCCTGAATGAGGGTGAAGCCTTTATCTTCGGACTTGAACAGGCCAAGCGCCTCGGTCTCCATATAGGAGCCTAATTTGGCATCCGAGAAGATCGAAGAATAGCTGCAGGTGGAGAGATGTGTATTAAACTCCCCCACCTTTCGACGGCGAAGGTGAGTGCCTACATGGACCACCTATACACCTAGCACGTTGGTACGATATTATGGTGTAGGGTGTACCTAGCTGTTGCCTAATGCTACAAGCAACACATAAATTTAAAAACGAAGAAAGCCAAGAAGGAGAGTTCGCACAAAACGCACTTTGTACCCACAAGCGTCCAATACACTTCACAGTGAGACTGCTGTCTCCCATTACAGCGTGCTTTGCGCACCACAGTAACAGCACCAATACAGCGGTCAAACGCAGAGCACCAAGTGGTACAGTGTATTTTCGATGAGTAGTGAATTTCTTACGCATGAGTTAAAGAGAGTGGAGTGACGGGAGTGAACTCAACCGACACGTCCGAAATCTACCGAGCCCAAGCGCAGAACGAACATGTAATATCATATGAATGTATGTAAAATGTAAAATAAAAAAATTATATCCTAATTCATTTAACACGTTAGCTGCTATGTCGAACTATATGTCCGACAAGCTAATGTTTCAATCAGGCCGTGTTGGACTATGTGTCCGACAAGTCATACGTCCATTCAACACCTCGCTGTGGCTTGTCGGACGTTTTTTAATCGAATTGTTGTATACAGCGTTACCCGCAAGGCCCCATAAAGCTTAAAAACAACGGGTCAACCTAACTTTTATCAACTGTTTAGTAATAATAGCAGTATGAACTTCGAAGGGATATTAATTTTAAATGAAATTTATATAGCTCAAATCAAACGTTTATTATTACTACTTTTGGAGAACATAATTATGATTATCTTTATAAATGAAATGTCGTGAATTGTATTAGCAACGGTAATTAAAGTAAGACATATAAAGGTACAAAAAATTACTTATGAGAAGCATTGAAACAGTTAAGACACCAATGAGGTTTTTCTGGACAGCCAGGGCAATAAGTCGCAACTTTTTTTGTCTTATTGCGAACTTGTAGTCTTCCTAGAATTCTTGACATTGTTTTTGTAACAATGTTGGCAGTTCCTACGAATATTTTTAGAAACGTTCTTCTTCTTCTTTCTTCTTTCCGTGTAAGCTTATGTATTCCTCGCAATAGTCTTACCGGTCTTGGTGTATCTATTTCCTGTGGAGTAGTCATTAGATATTTTATTATGGCTTGTCTGAATTTAACAATGGAAATATTCCTTTTTGTTGTTTGTTTATATAGAACTAAGGCATTTACAATTGATGTATTGAGAGTAACTCACAAGCAAGTTTTCGATACCATTTTACTGTCTTACGCAATGGTGTTGAATATGCTGACATTTGATCAGACAGATCTACGGCCGACTTCGCTTGGTTGTAGGACAAAACAATTTTGGGTTTCTTGGTAACAAGGCCCCGTTTACTCGTACTTTCTTTTAGTATGTTAGAGCGTTTTGTAGACAGCAGAAGTACTTCGCGTTTATCTCGCCACTTTATAACGGTTATACCCCTTTGATTCTCTCTAGAAATATATTCACCAGATTTGAGCTTCATTTCAGTGACTTCTTTCGGCAATCTCTTTCTATTTTTGCGAAGCGTACCAACCAGATGCGTCTCTGAATCAAGTAACTTGTCTGCTAAATCTGCACTGGTATACCAGTTATCGGTATACATAGTGTGTCCTTTATTCAACAGGTTACTACAAAGATTAAGAACTATATTTGTTGGTGTATTATTTTTGGACTGGGTACTTTTCTCTGCATATATTTCTAGCCTAAAAGTGTAACCTGGCGTTGTGCACAATTTGAAAATCTTTATACCGTATTAATACCTCTTCTGTTTCAAGTACTGTCTAAATATAATTCGGCCGCGAAAAGGAATGAGGCTTTCGTCTACACATAATGACTCATTGGGAATGAAATGGGCTTGAAAATTCATATTTAGTGTTTTAAGTAATTTATCTATTTTGTGTAGTCGGTCACCCTTTTCAGTTTCTTAATTATTTGAGAAATGTAGCATAAGAAGTAAAATTTCAAATCTGTTTCGAGTCATGGCATTTTTTGCGAAATCTTGTCGAAACATCGGATCTGTAGACCAGTAATCGGCAAGAGATGGTAATCTCACTAACCCCATCCACAGAATAAGAGCAAATAATTTTTTTATCTCTCTGACGTCTGTGGGCACGCATTTGTGAATTCTTGAGACTTGTTTTAATCCACCCTTTGAGATTATTTGTTCTGCAAATAAGTTCGTTTGATATACGACGTCTACAAAAACTGTGTCCGGTACGAGTAATGAGTAAAAGTCTGGCGGGTCAGAATTTGCCATCAAGTGTCTCTGTTGAATAGGTTTTAGCCCGGGTGATTCTGTGTACGGTATAATTTTGAGTTGGTTACCTGTCGAGATTGACTACACATCATATGGCAAAGCGCCTGAAGTAGATGGGCGCGCAGATGAGAAGCACTGCTCATCATCACTTTCACTATCTAACAAGATACGACGTCGCTTCCTACTACGTGAGACAGCCAAAGATTCTTCCTCACTAACTGTGGCCGAAAAATGTGTGCTTTGCGCTTGCGTTGACACGATAGTTCGATTTTATTAATTTCATCTAAATCTTCTTGACTTAATTCTATATCGTCGAAAAACATAGTTCACAATCGAATATTTACTATTTACGACACAACTATTAACTAGTTATAACCTCAAAATCGTAATAAAACAAAAAGTTCATGCGATTCCGATGCAAGTGCAACATGCAACTGATCTGGCCTGGCCTAGAGCGAGGGACAGTAGAATCAAGCACTATGATTGGCCAAAACTCTTGAGTGCTTCCTATTGGTACGCGCTACGCGCCCAAATAATAACCTGACTTTTTTAACTCAATGTCATGCACGTGTCCAACAAAGTGACCCGCGCGGCGTAGTGTTGAAAAATACTCCGTTCAGGCCGTGTCGGACTATATGTCCGTCGAATTGTAAATATGTAAATAATAAGTATAAGAGCAATATAAATATGGTATTACTATATATTATATATTTTAGGTGTTTTTAAATGGTTTTGGACAAAATTTACAAAAAAATTTTTCGTTTTACGAAAAATCATTCTGGCAGCTAACGTGTTAAGCACCTACACTCACGCATACATATGCATATACACACATTACACACACGACATACACCAACATTAGATTTTGGGTAATCTTGCTCGGCTTATTCTCAATATATAATATTATTAGGAAGTATGGTGCCTCCTGAAACAGATATTCCTTTACATACTTACTAGGAGGCTCCAAGTATTATTTATTATGCCTTAAGAAAAAAATAAATACATTTCCATTTCATTTTCAAATATCATCAATATTACACTTAAAAAATGATTTTTTAACAGATTTTAATGGCCTCAAAATTTCCACAGTTCTTAATATAAAAAATATAGACAAAAATTTTATTTGGCGACGTTAAATATGACGTCATTTTATGCTGAATAAAAATTCTATTTATGGCGTCCATATAAAGCATTTCATTAGACGTGAGTGTCGACTAACTAACTCTGAGAAGTTTATTCCGCCGGTACACCATCCGTCAGAATCCACAGTCCATTATCGCATCCTCAATGGATTTTTAGGACTCTTCAAAAACGAGATAAGGTATGCAATCACTCCGGTTCCACACGGCTTTCAATATTCGAGCAAATCAAATTTAATGCTCAATATGAATAACCATCGAGTGCAGTATTTTACATATAAGATTAATAAATTATTAATTATCCCTTGCAGAGATTCAGTGAAGAACTTGGGGATTCACATAGATAAATATCTGTCATGGGCACCATCAAATCAAAGAGATTCACTGTAAAGTTTATGCCTCTGCAGCCTCCTTGCGTAGATTACGTAACTTTCTTCCAATATACACCAAAACTGCGCTTGCCAAGTCCCTTCTCTTCCCTATTTTCGACTATGCGGACGTCTGCTATCTAGATCTCACCGAATCAGCTTGATAAACTTGAGCGAATTCAGAATTTCTGTATAAGGTTTTTATTTGGATTACGCAAATATGACCGTGTCTCTTTCTTTCGTACTAAGCTCAAGTGGTTGTCGATACGACTTCATCGGAATGCTCACATACTTCATCTTCTTTATAGTATTCTCTCCCTTCTTACTACCTACTATTATACCTATTACCCTTCTTACCTCAAAAACCGTTTTGTGTATCTTCCTGATTCCCATTGAGATCAGTGAGATCGGCAGAGAGCTTGAAATTGTATATGCCACTACACACTAGTAAATTTATGAACAAGTCTTTTACTGTACAGGCCGTTCATTTATGGAATGAACTCCCATTGGCAGTTAAACACGCTCCATCCCTACCAGTTTTTAAAAAACTAGTAAAGGACCATTACCTTGCACTTCGCTCCCACACTAGCCATTTAATATAATATAATATAATATAATATATAATATGTAGTATATTGATTGCATTTAGCTAAATAATTAAATATACATTTATTTTATGACATATATATATATATATATATGAAATGTGTATTCTTTTTTATCACACCAATGTGCCCTACCCTTGTCATCTTTGCATAATCCTAACCATTCACTGGTTGTCTGGAAGAAATTCCTATCAGCAATAAGACCGCCCATTGCATACTTCTTTTATATATATAATTAGTAATTTTATATGGTGTGCAATAAAGAATACTAAATAAATAAATAACATTAAACTCTTAAAATAAATTATTACACTGCCCCCAGTTCAGTTGACTTCCATACCTGTGACTGGCCATGTGCCTAGTGGCGTGCAATATCCACTTCTCGACGTCTAACTGCTGAAACTGCGAATGGAAGTTCTGGTCGGCAATCTCGACCAGACTGTGAAGAACTGTCTCAGACTTTGGTAACGGGATTAGATCATCACTGAAAAAGAATTCAACGAAAATACAACACTTTAATAACACATATGAATAAATTAAAAATGCTTGTGCGCGAGTCCCAAAAGTCAATTTAAAATTAAAAAAAAAAATATTGACTTTTGGGACTCGTTATTTTACAATGGCAAAGCATTCCCAATTAACTAATCAGATTTTAAAAATTATGTTTGCATTATTTAAAATGTTCTTAGGGATTAATTTTATTATTTATTAATTAGTATATATTTGGGAAATATTCAGTAAAAAGATACACAAAAATAATGAAATATACATTTCAATGAAAACTTCAATTTTATAACACGCGAACAATCCGTTTTATCCCGGATGACATCAAATTATTATCATATAATTATTAATATTTTTTAATTATTAATAAAAAATTATACTGCGAAAGTGCTGATTTACCGCGTGCCTGGTGGTGAAGAATAACATCGTTAATTATAAAATTTATACAGTCAAGACACAAATAAAGTAAGTTAATTAAAACCTAGGAAATAGGATTTTTGGCATTTAGCCTCATCAAAAAGGGACAGCAGACAGCATACTGCTATTATACGCCGATATTCTCTGAAAGCGTGGTACTATAGCTTGCCTCTAACACGTAGAGAATGTTCTTAGAATACAATGGAACAATTTTTTAACAACTAATATTACAAGTAATGCTAATTAAGAGTAATTTATGCCTTTAAGAAACAATTTAGCAGTTCAGCAATCAATATTAATTGACAGAAATTAAGATCATGATTGATGACGATATGTTTGCGTTAAAATCTTACCGCCCATAAATGTGGGCATCAGTTTTCGGACAATAAAGGAAGAAGTCTTCCCCGCGTAGCGCCATGATCTGCTCCTGAGTAAGAGGTGGAGGAGGGTTCTCGGGTGGAACTGGCAGTTGAGCAGGAGGCTGGGTAAGAAAAGGAATATTTAAGGAATGAAACAAATTTACACGAATTTTATCTAGTTAACACATATTTTATAATAATCAGCCTAAGTAGGCATTAGGTCCGCACATTTTACCCTTTATTTTAAAGTGTTCATATGAAAGAATAAATACATAAATATATTATCAAATAGCTATCATGTTAACGTCCCAATTTACGATGCTATTTAATATTATAGAAGCCTGTTAGTCGGATATTTTCAACATTAGATAACTCCCAATGTTGGATAAAATTATATTTAATCAGCTTTTACACACGGCTCCGCTAGTGTTTAATTTAAAGCCTGCAAGCTAAAGGCCTAAAATATAAAAAGAAATAACCACGCTCGCCAAACGTGACAATCATGGCAAATGTCCTTTTCATGAGGTAATCTACAGAGAGGTCTATCTTCAGTGTTGAACTTTGACAAACGCATCTATTGACTTCCTTCATTTCTAACCAGCAGTGCGATGGTGTAACTCTGGTAGAGATCATAGTAGGTAACGTTTTAACGTTTGTCGTTTTATCATTATCATCATTACCATGGTAATTTACCATACTCTATAATATATACTGTATATAATTTGGAATTTTGATAGCGTGATTTAGGCTTCGGTGTGTTTCGCTTGCGGCGCGACGACAGCGCCGCCACAAGTCCATCACGAGTCCACAGCTGAACATAAGCGTCTTCCAAGGAATGCCACAAGGCACGGTTCTAAGCCAGCTGCATCGATCGAATTTTTGCATCTCATACCAGATCGTCACTTACTGGTACGAGCCTGCCACTCGAGAAACTTTCTTCCTCAACAGTTGTCGGTCCTTTCGAGCCCTATGGCAGGCCCATTACCACTTCAGCTTACCGATCTGTTGCACTATATCAGTTACTCCGGTTTCACTGTGGGTATTCTCATTACGCAAAGAATCGTAGACCTTTTTTGCTGAAACAAGGTGTTCCATCTTTGTACTGAGGAGTAACAACGCATCTTTAGTTTGATTCTCAATAAGTGATTATTGACTATGAGCTCAATTGTCACTTTTACTTTTATTTAAAAAAAACTTTACATTAAAGTTAAATATTGCATGGATTTCTCACACATTTTATCACGGCTAAATAAGGTTTTGAGAAAAAGATACCTCTCTAGGCATTTTCTGGTAAAACTCTCTGACTTTTGTTCTGGCCGTTGCCCGCGATGTTGCCAAGCTCACTGCACTCAGGGAACATTGAGGATACTTTCCCTGTTAAAAAAATTTAATGTAAGGCCTAAATAAAAAAATAAAAATATCTATAATCTATAAACACTCACGCCTGTCACCCAGAGGGGTAGGCAGAGACTACAGACTTCCATTTGGCACGATCCTGACACACCTCTCTTGCCTCCTTCACATACATACACCTACGCATACATGCTCGTCGGTTAAGGGTACTCCTAATTTGGCCCGTTTTCAATAAATCGCCAATTTGGTCGATAAATTTTCGCCTAGGACGTCCCTTTCCGACTCTGCCATTCACTTCTGCACCATAAATTTTCTTTGTCACTCTTTCCTCATTCATTCTTTCCACATGACCAAACCACCGAAGCATTCCTTTCTTAATCCTGGTCACATCATCTTGCAAACCACACTCTTCTCTTATTACACAATTTCTTACCCTGTCATTCAGATTCAGCCCTAACATACTCCTTAACGACCGCATTTCTACTGCGTTTATTCTACTCTCGTGCTTCTTCTGCCACACTCAACTTTCAAAATAAAAAAATAATAAACAAAGTTAAATCATTGCTATAAGTCTCGGAAACAAAAATACGATTACCCTACAGGCCATCCCTGGAACTTCCCGCTAATTTCAAACTCAAAGCGATTCAAATTTAATTCAAAAAAACACGTTTTTTTTTTACTACCTACCACGTTTTTTTCTTTCAAAATTAAATATTGAAAAATCAACCGATTTCGATGAACATGACGGCGCTTGACGCAGTTTTTTAAGAACTCGTAATTAATTTATTACATCAAAAACGAGAAAAGAAAAAATTTTGAAGTTATTTCGCTCCTTTCTAAAAGACCGGCAACGCACCTGCAATTCCCCTGGTGTTGCAGTTGTTTATGGACGGCGGTAGTCGCTTACCATCAGGTGAGCCTTGTGCTCGTTTGACCCCTCAATTATATAAAAAAATACTTTTTTCGAAAATTTTCGCTAATGATTTCTCTTCAACGCATCAATCGACTTTGATGCGGTTTGCAGCAATGGACAGCGTTTTTTGAGTTTAAGAGCTGATTAGATATTGAAATTGTTAGTTATTTATGTTTAAAATATTGACGTTTAGATGTTAAAAATATCCAATGCATCCATATGCAATTTTAAAAACGTTTTTAAGAAATTAAAAAAAATAGTATATACTTAAATATAAATACGATAACTCCCAACAGTAACATTAAACTCAAAATTCTAACAAAATTTCACCTCTTTAATCTTCTTCTCTATGAGCGCATTAATGTTTAAGCTCTCCCATTCGCTCTGGCAGTGGATTTTCAGAGCTTTTAAATCTAATTCGTAGTTCGGTTCTCGGATTAAAGGTTCCTTTTGGACAACCTGCAAAGAGTTAACAGAAATAATAGTAACAATTTCTTCATATTACACAGTATCAAAATGCAAAGAGGAAAATTGTATCAAAGAAATAGGAACCTATCACCATCTACCTATCGGCGGAACTTTTGTCTTTTTCACCAAGTTAAATAAAAACAAACATTTTATAGTTAAGCAGTTAGTATATCTGAATAGGTACCTCGCTCTTTATTATTTCTGACGCCAAAAAACAATGTGTAGGGATTAAAAATTAAGTAAAAGAAGTAAAATTAAATGCGAGAAAATTCGTAAAATTAGGTTTAGTCGAGTCGAAGTCGAGTATTTGTGTAAAAATAAGAAATCATTACAGCATAGCGTTCATTGCTGTGTTTCAGTGTTAGAAGTATAGGAAATCAGTATTATTACAGGCTACAATCTTAGCCATTGTAGATGACAATGAACCTGTTACCTATTTTGTTTGAAGTAGTCTGCAAGTGTCCATAGACCGTATTACCCACTTATCTTCATCAGGTGGACCGTGGGTTTGTTTATCACTTCAGTTTTCATATTCAAAAAATAACAGGATAATGTTGAGAACAGCCCTAGCACATTTTTTTTAATTTAATCATAAAATTTTGATTGGCTGTAATTAAAAGAGTTAGCTGCAGACGTCACGGGCTGCAATGGCTAACTTACCAATTAAATAGTCCTAAAAAGAATATTAAAAATTCTCGTTTGTCGTTTTTTATAAGGTAAAAAATGATATTTTAAGTTTTAGCCACAAAGTAGAGTTTGGAAATTGATTGTATAGGTAATCTCCTAATATTATTATTATCGTTACTATGTAAGTTGAATTGTTAAATTATAGTTACTATGTAAGTTTATGTGTGGTGTGTGCAGATGTTCCTATCCTGTATTATATACTAATACAGGATAGGAATATCTGCGTACCATATTCATGAATAAAACTTTATTTTTATTATAGTGGGTTATTTATAGAGTATTCTCATCTGGATGGGCTGAATAAATATATAAAATGGGATGATAAATAAATATATATTTAATATACTAACATAAATAAATAGATAATACATAAATAAATGAAATCCCAACCAGATGGAAGCCCTCGGCAGGGGAGACCAAAAGGCCTAATACTAGGGGGAAAGGAAGGAAACCGGCGGACGATGCGGGCGGTATAGAGGAGCACCGCCTTCTGCATTTGAGCCCGGAGCGTTCACGGAGTCCCAGTTGCCTCAGATGATCTGAGAGGCTGACCGGAATTAGCCTGTTCGCAGAGACCACTACAGGAATAAATTCGGTCGTCAGACCACCCCACATGTGGGTCACCTCGTGAGCCAGGTCTATATTTTGTTTGCAAATATGTTTCAGCTTTCACTAGATTCTCATCATATGGAATGGTAATGTCGACCAAAAACATCCTTGAGTGTGCCCGGTCCATCATCAAAATATCAGGCTTATTCTCAAGAATAGTCCTGTCTGTGATGATGGCCCGGTCCCAGTAAAGCCTGACGGGATCATTTTCGAGCTCGGCTTCCGGCAAGTACTTATAATAAGACAGTTTCATTTATTATTATTATTATCTTACCTCAATATTGGTCAGGGTTATCGTTGGTTTAGGAGTGCCCTTTTTTGCTGCATCTAGATCTCCGTAGTTCGCGAGAAAGTCTAGAACGAAACACATCACACCAGCGTAGCGTAAAAATGCTCCGGCTCCATACCTGCGCAGCAACATTCATTATTTTTCAATAATAGTGCAGGGGCAAAGCATTTATTTGAGGTTCGACTCCCGTGAAGAACAAATATTTGTATAGAGTACAAATAATTGCTCTTTATTTGCAAAATATACGCGTTTTCTTTAAGTAGAAAGTAAGAAAATTCATTTAGACATCATTCTTCGTCACTGGTTTTATTTCAACTTTTGTATTTTGAGAGGACGGTAATTTTAAGATGACGTTAGTTTGCCACTTCATTTTATTTAACAAAAGTTCTACCGCCGTCGTGTTCTTTTGACTACGCTACCAAACTTTTCTGCTTTTTATAGTATAGACATATGAGCACACAGTCTGATAGTAAGTGGATGCTGTGGCATGGGACATGTCTATGGAGACATCTTCAAAATAGGTCTCCGGTTCTCTACACTCACCATACAAAACACAGTAGCTTTGAACCGAAATTTCACGCTGGTATTATGTGAGAGCGTGGTCCTACCCTGGTCAAGCCGAACCGTTCGTGCTACAACCATAATATACCATAATATAACCATATAGCTGTAGCGTGGCTCTACTAGCGTGTTAGTAGTCTTGCATCTTTATGCAATGATGATAGACACTTCATGACAAAAATGAAATAAATTTTCCCATGAGATTTTATATGTTACTATACTGTATCACTTTGGACAGTCTCGTTCCTAAATCAAGCAGTGTCTCAGAACTGAATCAAGCATTAAGTTGTTTGGACTGGCTTACAATAATTAAAAACATTCAGGAATCGGAAACCATGACGAGATATTTCTGACATTTCCTTTAGTCGCCACCTACGGCAACCATGGGATAAAAAGGGGTATATTTTCTTACGCTGTCACCACACGGCCCTCTTGTATTATAATATTTTAAATAAAGTGTTTTTAAAACCTCCTCCTCCTTCCGTACGAGTTAATGAAACTTCAATGGTGATCTAATATCCAACAGTAAAAGATTTCTTAACAGGCGCATAGTGACGATAGATTAATAGTTAATTTTTTTTAAAGATAAGACTGACAAAGAACACACATTCCATCTGATAAGTTGTTGCTGTAGCCCATAGACATCTACATTTATCCTCGATTTCAACTCAAAATGAAATGCGTTGTCACACTTGAGGACTAAGATTCAATTTCCAGTAAAAAAGCGTTTCCGGTTCTCTACACTCACCATACGGAAAACATGCTATTTTACGCTGGCATTCTGTGAGAGCGTGGGCCTTCTCGGTTGAGCCGACCCATTCGTGTTACTACTATACCACTAACATAGCTGCAGCATCATAAAATAGTAGAATATAGATTCCATTATATAAAAGAAAACTTACACAGAATTCGGCTGCCCCAAATCATTCAACATATGAGGGTCGAAAATATAGCATATGGTTTTCACATTACTTTCAGCTTCGGGTGGTGGAGGATGGCCCCAGATAAGGAAATGCTTGTCCTCGCCAATAGTCAAAATCATCATATATGTTGTTCCGGCGTACTTCTCCATTATACTAGAAAAAATTATAAATAAATATATTAAAGAATATAATCAACTAGAGGCTGTCTCCAATAAGGAAGACCTACGTCCATCAGTGGGATTTTATATAATGATGAAGATCAAATAGTAACGGCTCAGCTTTACACTGATCGGTTTATATACATTTCACATCAGATAACACATTATTGTTTCACCATTTGAACACAAAAAGCCAATATTTCTCTACTATCCTTAGTAGGAAATTACTGAAAGAAAAAAGGGACTGATCACGTGGAATACATAAAGGTTAGGTTTTCCACGGGCGTATAGCTGTAAATGTGATCATGATTTACTTCAGAATGATGGTGAATGTACGAATGTACTAGAGTCCTTTCACTTTTTAGTATTACTTGAAAAAATTGTCCATAATCATGACCGTGGATAGGTGATATGGTCAGCACATTGCCAAAACCCTAGTATTAGTAACACTGCTCCAAATCATCTTTCTGTGAAATTTGGGTTGTGTGCTTAAATTCTCGCCATAATTCGATCGCCAGAATCTTAAATGTATATAAAACCACAAACACCACAAGCACTTACACTTCGTAAACCACAAGCACTGACTAAGGAAATTAAAATATCGAGAAAATAAAAAAAATCTTTAAAGTCCTTTACCCTTTAGTTAGTTTTCGCTATAGGTTTAACAGCAATCGTGAGGACCACATGTCACACAACACTTACACATGGAACGGTCTTACTCATTTATATTGTATGAAATAATGTAAGTAGGAATATGCAAAATTTTTCTTCATATGCCATCTACACCTGCACTCCCGGTAAATCAACACCGACATAAAGTGAAAAGTCCATTGGATAAAATATGCATGCAATAAACAAAAACTTTTCATATGAAATTCTTCAATCGATATAGATTAAAGAATTTCTTCTCTAAAACGGCAAAAAAATCCATTAAATAGCTTTAAAGTTTTAAGAAATTATATAGAAAGAAGGGGCTAAATGATCTCTTAATAAAAGTGAAGCTTAAAACACACGGCGTTGCTAGTTACAACATGAATTGAAATGATATCGAAAGGCTTGGAAAATATTTATTACATATCGTACTTACGCCATGAGATCCGGTTCGCCTTGTATATTATCAGGGTGTTTCGCCAAGAGTCCTTTCTCCACTTCAGTCATTTTCACAGTGTATTTATTGTCGTGGTAGAATAACGATGAAAGCAATTGGTTCAGTTGAAGTTGCGGTTTACCTAGCCATATAAACTTATTATGTATAAAAATAACAACCCACATTACATTTCAAACTGCGGGAAAAAATCTCCCAGCAAGAATCCCCCGAGGGGTCACCATTTCAATGTTTTACTGCGATGAGCACAGAAAACGTAATAATTCAGCGAAAAATCACTCGTCTCTAACAAGGGTAAAAATCTATACTTACTTCTCTCTGTCGGGCACAATAGGTCATATTCAAAGTCCCAGAAAATATTCCTTAATATGTGTTTCAACACTATTTTATATTCTATACTGTACGTATATTATGTTGTATACGAACAACATTTTTTAAATAAAATTATACTTTTAATAGTAGGTGCTCAGACAGTTTGAATAGAATCAAAACATCAGAAGCTATTATATGGTAACAAAAAGTAGAATATCGTCTAAACAGTTAAATAACAATTTCATCCCGTTTGATTAACCTTAAGGTTGCAAATATTTATGAAACTTAAGTGAGACTACTCCTGAAGTAGTATACCATATTTAATAAGAAATAATAACAATATAAGCCTAATGGGACCTGGAACTCGAAAGGTCGAATCCGCCATTCGACTACGCCATTTATATTGTATGAAATGGTGAAAGTGAGAATATGCAAAACTTTTTCCTCAAATGCCAACTTCACCTGCACTCCCAGTAAATCACCACCGACAGAAAGTGAAAAGTCCATCATGAAAGTTAAATAAATGCAAGTCTCATATTATACTTGTAATCGAAGACAACATTTCTAGTACGAATATATTTTTAGGTTTTGCACTCATCAACCCACCTGCCCAGCTGGAACAATCTTGGAAAAACCATTTTAGCAGTGGATTTTGTGCGCTATTTTTAATTGACATATTTATATTATCTAATATTTTATGAAGTATGGGACGGCCTGCTACTATATGGAATACCCGGTAAGAAACGCAATGTCAATGTCAATAGAGACGGATGGCTCAGAACCGTTTTTTGTGGCATTTCTTGGGAAAAGGCTTTTGTTCATTAATTTTCTTGTGATAAATTTTAGTGATGTTGATGATATTTTTAATATATTAATTAAGTATCTGTTTGTGAAAAAATTGATTTCTTACAAAATAAATTTCTTTACGAAGCATTTGCACAAAAATAATAGGTATGATGAACTGACCTTTATAGCACTTAAGTGCTAACATGCACTGCCTATAATATCTGTCTCCGTTCTCGATCACATCATCCACGTCCCTTTTCACAAGCTGTGACGGTGTCTTTTCTTCTAGAAGGACACGGCACACCACTGCTATACAAGCGGTTTGTGACCCTATAGAAAATGTGACCTATATCATCTCATCAGATCAGTTGACATTATGCTTACAACATTGTACGCAATGTGTTCAATCGTGTTCTAATTTGTTATCGTTACGACTCTTGATATAATATGGGAGCCTTATGAACATTGCATATACTTCTAAACAACTCTTACTACTCTTAGCGGTCAGTCGCCGTAGAGCCTACATCACCTAAAGATGCCTCGTGTAGAGGCGAAACACGTGTCGTATTATCGTCGATGGTGTGTCTTTTCTAGAGTAGTGGTATTGGAAATAGTGATGTTGGGAGTAGTGGTGCTGGGATTAATGGTGACGGGATTAATGCACGCAATTGAGGGAGGGCGGGAGGTGCTCTTCAAACTAGGTAAGATACATGATTTAATTGAGCGGAATGTTGCAAAATAACTATTAATATCTTTATTAAATTATAAAATCTTAAACAAACTTTTTGTTTTATTGTCTGTGCGCTTGTGCACGGTAATCTCCACAATGACTGTAAAAAATTAGATGTGGTTTTCAGTTATGTATTGAGATAAGCTTGGGCTAACATTTAGTGTTTATAACCGCCGACGTAAACATAAGTGTTATATGTTTGTAGTGTGTATTTGTATATCTGTGTGTGTGTCTGTGGCGTCATTGGTCCTGAACGGACGAACCGATTTTGATTAAGTTTTTTTTTCTTAGCAATGTTTCAAGATATTTGGTCCAGCCATTTGAAGGTCATCAGCCCTTTTTGTTTCGGGACTTTTTTTGAATTTTAATTTAAGTTATATTACTTTTCATTTAAATCGTTTCACAAATAAAAAAGACAACATTGCACATGGTGGAAAAAGCGCAACGGTATTGTCAAATATGGGTATAATATTATTTTAATCTTTATTAAATTCTTATTATTATTTCTTCCACAACGCCATTTTTTGTAATACGTGCTGTATTTTAAGCAGATCAGGTGTATGTTACATCTTCTGCATTCTATAGTGGTCCCTTAGTGAACAGTGAATTTATTGTTTATTTATTTAGGACCAGTTTTATTATATCTTTTATGTGTGTCATTAAAAATTAAAGATACTTAGAAGCTTCACCTGGAAAAGATCTATCAATGATACGATATATTTAGACATAAGATAGTCATGGATCATTCTTTTTACCAAGTTTTCGTTTTTTTTTTTAAAACTAAATTTTTGAATAAAATACAGCCTAGATCCCTACTGGCAATGTTCTCTATCTGTCCAAAAAGTTTTAACACTATCGCTTCAGCCATTTCGAAGATTTGCCAGACAGATGGACACACGGACAGACACAGATAAAAATATTAAAAATGTTTATTTTTGTCTAAATAGCCACATAATACAATTACCATCGGGTTGAATGTGTGCTCATTTGTTGCCATAACATTAAAAAACAACGGCCACGACATGCGTGTATGTAAATATTTATCTTCTCTTCTACCACTATGTGCAAAACACTCAGTAAAAGTAAATATCACAAGTAAAAGAGAAACAACAAACTTTATTTGACGTACCACAAGCAGTCGAGGAATACTTCTTAGAGTTACAGCCTAAGCTGCCTTGGAGCATCATCTTACTCTTTTCTACTTGCCTGAAGTTGTGCCATATCTATGAATAATTTTGAGTATTATTTCAATATCAAAATCACTTCTGTTCATAAACACTGAATGAAGTTAATAATACATTTAAGTTGGAAAATCTGCAAATTATATCTTTTTAACAGGATTGATTAGACTCGTAACATTAAGATATCCTTAAGTTATCACTTAATGGCTCACTACCAAAAGAAGGCGTAATCGTAGAATTCTGCCTGTTATTTTTTCATTTTAAAGGATCCAACATCTTCATATTAATAATAAGATAAATTTCAGTATTTTATTTAACTCATGACAGAATTCCACCTTGAGGCTAGCATTCCTAGTCAAACGTCGTAGAACGTAGGCGGGTGGATTTAATTCACTTGGATCATAGTACAAAGCGTGTTAGAATTTTTAATGCCCTACCTCAACAAGTCATCTATCAAATATCGTCAAACTTTCTGGTATTTCCCATAGTCTACTCTTACGACACCCAAGGTATGAGATACCTCCTGTATTATTACCATTGAAAAGAATATTCTTAAGTGATTTCCTCGTACCAACAAGCATTATAGCCTCTTAGTAGAGTGTTTCGATGATCTTTACGGGGTGTTTATAGGGTTTGGGTTATGGTATGGTTGGGTTTGGGACGATAAGTCCCGGGACGTCTCGAGTCTCGAAGTCCCGGGACTTATCGTAATTTTAGTTGTCTCGAGTCCCGGGATTTTCGGGTCGAGACTCGAGACGAGACAAGATTGTCGAAAATGTTATCACCATTTTTATTTTCAAATAATTGAAAGAGCCTAGCGCCATCTGTTAGTTAAATTATAAAAGGAGTTTCAGTAGTTTGAAGCAAGCGGAAAACGTACAAAAAGTTTGGAACTACTGTATAAAGCCTTAAACACAATCAAACCGACATCTGTTGAAAACGAGGGTGTGTGTTCTCCTTGTCCGGTGGCATTATTACAAAAATCAGAAACAAATTGTCGAAGAGAGCTGTTGACGCTCTGATTTTTTTAAAAGCCTATTTTATTAAACAAGCAAAGAAGTCTAATTAATGTGTTAGATTTTTCTTAATAACATTAATAAATGTTGATTTTTAACTAAAATTGCCCTTTTTCAATACGTTTCACCAGAAATTTACTGAATTAAAATTCTTCAAAAAAGACTTACTTCTCTTAAAAATGTTTTACTTAAAAGTTGAAGTCCCGGGAATTTCCCGGGACTTTGATAGTAGACTGTCTCGTTTCCCGGGACTTAAAAATTGTCGGGAATTCCCAAACCCTAGGTGTTTATAATTGCAGGTAGCCGATTACCGTGTTTTGTGGCACTCTTTGCTGGGGGCCAACCATTTGCAGTGGCTGTAATGATAATCATGATGCAACTCACCCTTCTCAGCTTGGCGAACTCGTATAACGGCTGAGTGACCTCTTCCGCCGGTATGCGCAGTAATTTTGGACGTCTTCGGCGACGATGCATGTATGGTGGAACCCATTTCTTCGTTTTGAACTCCGGACGGTTTATAGTCTATAGCACATTATTATAAAATATACATATACTAAATATATTCTTTTTAATTTTATTTATTTATCTCTTCACAACTTCTTACTGGCTAGTTAACAATTACAATGTAGTAAGGACCTAACGTTGTGAGAGACTGGCGCCTATGATAGGTTTTATAATAAAAACCTGGGTTACAACTCACCAGGCCCCCCTCGTGGATGGATTACATATACTACGAAGTACAATACGGAAAGGAAATATATCATATAAGAGTAAAAATCATCGAACATCTATCACTCGGTCACCAGTTCGCATGCACATAAAGGTAAGTATGGACAAAAACTTATAAGAAATGCGTCATTTTGCTTTTTATAAATAGGTTTAGTATATTGTTTGCAATAATTACTTTCAAAAAAAAGTCGATCAAGTGACACTTGAGAACTGGTGACAGTTGACAATTGAGAACATAATATATAAATAATACAATTAATGGTGTCTTTGTGTAATTTTCGTATTTACAGTTTCCAAAACAGTAGTTCTGTTTTTATGATTTGGAACTAAATCATACGTTAAAAATATTTCTCTCTCACAACTGTCCTCACGAATTGAACTCGAACACCTCGTGACCCAGTGCCCAGAGTATCCGACTACTACGACACGGGTCCTAGGTTCGAATATAAGCAGAATCAAAAATCATTTTAAAAGGTCTCCTTCTGGTTGTGATATAAAAGGACAATTTTATTGAATTCAACTTAAATCACCTATACGTTACAGGATGATTAATTAACACGTATTAAGTACCAAGTAATTAGTTTATTATGTTAAAAAATAAAATGTAATTACATTTTAAGTTAATTTTAAGCAAATTCGTCGGTAATTAAAAATTTATATTAAACGCGATAAAATCCGTAAAAATTAGTTTCATTTAGTGTGTAGTGTTTGCGTAAATATAAGAAATCATAATTTTAGGCGACTTAATTTTAACTAAGCGTTTACACGTTATCTGTTAAGCTTATTAGTTTTTCAAAGATGTACGATTAATACGAATAAAAGATGAATTAGTTAGGGAAGCGAAAATATTTTAAAAGACTGAGGGTGAGAAGATGAATATGGCTCAAGTGCAAATTTGTTTCATGAACTAGCTGGAGAAGATGAAGAGTATGTCTCTACACTACAGATCTCAAAAGAATCCTTCAATTACTTGCAGTGCAAAGATGAACATAAGATACTACAGAAGGAAAATAAAACTGATGGGGCAGCAGCATCTTCCTTATTACAACGCAATATAACAAAAAGCTGCGATTGTATGATTACTTTGGTAATCTTGGATTATACTTACCAAACGTGGCAACCATGGCGAAATACCCAATGAGACAATCTATGTTCAGTTCAGCGGTGGACTTAAGGCTGTAATGATGGATTACATTGACACTTTATTACATTGACATTGGAACCAAAATTAAAATTATTATATAATTTAGCAATCAACAATTTATATATATATATATATATATATATATATATATATATATATATATATATATATATTATAATTTTAATTTTGGTATATTTTATGTAAATATGGTAGCTTTTTTTTCTTTAATCAAAATTATACTATTTTATCATAGTAGTAAAAAGGCTTCAAACTCATGACTTCCGAACGTGAAGCTCTGTCAAACATAAAAGCATTTCAATAAACCTTCAGATGAGCCGCACGCTCATTTATCCTTTTATTTAAAAAAAAAACTAACAACGGGTGGTAATCTCTCAGGTGGCGGCGGCGGCTTCCAAGGCCTTGTGCTGATCTTCACTTTAGAGACTTCAGGCCAACGACGCTTGAATCGGTTTCTTCGCATATGTGCTCTGTACTCAGCCTCCCTGATAAAACATTATAAGTTGCTTTTGAAAGGATACTAGAGAAACTTATTTTGACTTATTTTTACTACGATGATTTATATATAATAAAATATTATTATTTAATAAAATTAAGGTGACAAGCGAGCACACAGTCTACCTGGTGGTAAGTAGATGCTATGGACTAATAACTATATAACACTTATATATTATATTCGATTAATAAGGTCGAAGAAGTCCTATTCTACTCACGATTCCATCTGGGTAGATGGAAACCATCCTATTACTCTGGTCTGGGGTAGAGAGAAATGATTACGGCCTGTGAGATATTCCCTCAGAGGTGACAATGCATCTGCCTTATGCATTGTCACCTCTGAGGGAATATCTATTATTTGAAGTGGCTGCAGGTTTTCATGAATTGCAGTAACCACATCATCAGGTGGATGTAAATTTGCTTGTCAATTCAGTTTAAAAAAATGCGTTGTCACGCCTGATGCTTAATATACAGGTTGTTCGTTAATAAATGGATAACATTGAAATAGCTTGTAATAAACCCTATGGCCATGGCCACCTAAGATACGATGTTTTAGAAAAAAAACTAGCAACTACTTTTTCCCTCATTTTAAATCACGATCACAAATGAATTAATTCCATCGGTTATTTGTTATCAAATTGTATGTCGACTATATAACAGAAAGGCAGTAAATAGTTTGACTGGCATATTATGCATAATAAATAAAATTACTTATTTTATATTTATTGGTCTTACTTATCATATATTTTGTGCAACATTTGTGAAAATATTTATATTTGCATTAGATTTGATAAACCACAAATCCTCGCAAAAGAACACCGATTCATACCAGGGACGATACGCGAGGCTATTGAAGTTAAAAAACATCCTAATTTCAAAAGGAAAGATGGATGGGTGCTGCCATCTACTTGGGATCCTCTAATTAACAGAATTAACCACTCAAGATACTGTAAGCTCGTTCTGTGTAGATCGGACCAAACATTACTATTAAAAAACTGAAGGTAGCCGGGCCAACTATGACATTGGAACATTAAACATCTCAGTCCTCCGTGACCATGAGTGCTGTAATTACCCGAAACATTGGGAATTAAAAATAAGTCAATTAAACGCGATAAAATCCGCACAAATAGTTTTATTCAGTTAGGACATGTTTGTATAAAGTTGTGAAGCTTAAATTATTTTAAAAATAATTTAAGTTTCACAATAATCAAATATTGTATAAGTTTGGGGAAGATGAGATAAGGTTGGCCACGCTTTGATAAGTTTGTATTAGTTAGGATAATTTTGCTTAATATTTAATAAGATTTAATGAACTTGGAAAAGTTTTGAAAATTGGGTAAGTTTAGATGAGATAGGATTGAATAAGTTTGAAAAATACTGCATTTTTTACAGAAGATATAATAATAATAATTTCGGGATATTTCTTTCAGAAATGTCCTCGACGTGGTGTATATGTCCATATAGATGGATTGGTTAAGTAATTTATGAACTGCGTTAGTGACATTAACAAAGAAGGTAAATTATAATTGAATTAATTCCAATATCAAATAATAATATACCTCTTCACACTTCCTACTGCAACAGACTCACAGCAGTGCATACGTGGCCAGTGCTACAGGAACGAATGAAAGATAAAAATGTTTAAATTGGATAGTTGCGATTAGTCAGGAAAAATTTTGGGTAGCTGGGATAATATCGGATAAGATTTGATAAGTTATTACAAGTGTTGATAAGTTTAGAGAAATAAGGATAAGTTTGTTTGCTATTAGAGAACTTACGATAAGTTTGGATGAAATGGGATTGGTTAAGTTCTTGCGCAGGCATTTGTCCATGTAAAATATGGAGGCTACGTCCATTGAAATCAACGCTCCGTCCTCCTTGTACTCACTCCAACCCAAAGCTCCAAAAACTTTCAGCTCGAAGTACTAAACCAGTACAAATAGTGGACGATATTAATGACGAACACGTGGAAACTGTTCATCCGTTTGGAGCTAAATTCTGCAAAACCCGTCGCAGAAGAATTTCTCTGATTACACGCAACGATCGACCTGATTGACCTGGTTAGTATAACGAATTAATATTTGAACGATCGGTCACTAGTAATGAAAGATTGGGATAAAACATGTCTATTGTCACCTTTCATCTTTTACCCCTCGTACCTTCATCCGCACATTATGCGAGTTCCTTTTGAACACTTCTAATATTTGAAATTAGCTTGTTCTGATATAGTTGCAGTAGACGAGACACAGAATTGACTGATAGAATATCCTACATGTTATTATATCCGTCTATCTATAGTTTGTCATACAAATTAAACGAAATCAAAATTTGATTAGCAAGACAATTAAGCTATATTTTAACAGTCTACAGAAGCGTTGTCATCTCTGAGTACAAAGTTGAAATTCTTCACAGTTAGTAACTTTATATTTCACACCGGAACTCTTTCATACAGCAGCGACTATTCAGATGCAGAATTCCGAGTAGATAAGAGTACAGTACCGACCCAGACTGACTCGTAGGCACCTAGCTTGTAAGCAAAATAGTAATCAATAAATCCCCTTACTCTCGAGCAATTTGAGACGGTGTCTTAACTATTTCTTCGACCACAGGCTCCAAATTCTCCTCTTTGTGGCCCTTTTCTTTCTGATGGTCATCTTTTTTCTTTTGATTATTTTCTGAAGGCGCATCTCCTGCAGCTGTTGCTCTGAAAACACACTACGTGCATCACCAAAATCACATTTAAATACCCGTCTTCTCCATTTGGAAACGCTTTTGAAGGCCTGTACAAGATGCCTTGTATATAAGATGATACTTCCTAACGGTCATCTCACACTGACACGAGATGCCACGAAATACAGATGTGTTCCGTCCGTGTTTCTTTCCATTCAATAATTTTATTTGAAATAGCAACGGACTTAGCTGTATGTAAAAAATATGGTATTGAAATAGAAAAGAATAATATTATATCCTGAATACACATTAAAAGACTTAGATTTCACAAAATACTTGAGCTAATTGATAAAAATAAAACCAAGCTTAAATAAAAAAATCTCGAAATAAAATTTTAAATTCAGTTAAAGTTTTAGATTATTACTTCTTACCTACGCAATATGAATAAAGAACGGTATGATCAAGACTGAAAAACTGGGCAGTTAAATTTATTTTCTTTGATTTGATTTACAAATACCTAATAAATAATACTTAATAATTTTGAGGTAAAAACGCGATGGGAATAGTCTAGCTTTCGACAAGTAAAAATTTTTAAAAATCGTATCAGTAATTAGTTACTTTCGTGTAGTGAAGGCGTAATAGAATTAATTTGGGTGTCAGAAGAGGCGATAGAGGGAAGTTGAAACAGGATTCCCCGCTAAGCGTGGCTACTATGGCATATATTTGCTATGCGGCAAACTATAGTCGAGGCCTAAACTCACAAGTAAATTGGATGTAATGGCTGAATGAACGAACTTAGATGCTAACTTTGTTATTGTAGTGCTGATTATGTGAAGTTTTTAAAAACTAGTAAATAATTATTGCGTCAGAATTTAGAGTTTCTTGAGATATGTGGTATGTCTTTTTTATAGCATTGGTTGACAAACGAGCACGCATTTCACCTGATAGTAAGTGGATGCTATGGCCCATAGACATCTACATTTATCTTTAATTAAGAATCAAAATGCAAATGCATTGCCACCCCTGAAGACTAAGATGGAATGCCTCGATTCCAGTGAAAAGGGTCACCGATTATACACTCACCATACGAAACACAGCAGGAATTACGCTGCTGTTTTACGCTGGTATTCTGTGAGAGCGTGGTCCTGTTCCGGTTGAGCCGACCCATTCGTGCTACAACTATAGCTGCAGCGTGGCTCTAAAATGTACAAAACTGATAATGGTATAAAACACGCAAGACCTAGAGCAATGACTCTACTCTAGTCTAGTTGAAGACTGTTCTATTATCATCACATATTTTTTTATAAAAGCAACAGCTTCATATATATCCCACTAATCGACCTTCAACTCTAGGGTTATTAAGCTGAAAAAACTGCTAGGGCCAGTACGCAAAAAAAGCGAACTTTACGGCGTGTCTTCAATATATTTTTAATTTTTCAGAGATGTTTTCTTTTTTATATATCCTGTGTTTTCCTACACCACTCGGCACGTGGCGAATCAGCAAATTAATAGAGAATAACAATTTCAGTGGTGCCAACTGCCAAGTCGTGCCAAGCCGTGGTAGCTCAGGGGCTAAACGCTCGCTGCACGCTGTACTCGCCGCAATGTAAATTACACAGTACGCGAACAACCCGGGTTCGATTCCCGCAGGCGCCAACAAAATTGTTAATTGTAATTGTATTTCCTGTTTTACCACGTGCTCGGCGGTGAAGGAAAACATCGTAAGGTAACCTGCATGTTTGAGAAGTAAAAAAAAAATCGAAGACATAGTGTAAAGTTTGCTAACACTAATTGGGGCAGCGCGTCAGACATTTCCTTGCACCAAAACCCTCTCAGAAATGAGAGGAGGCCTGTGACCAGCAGTGGGACGTATATAGGCTGTAACTTTACTTTAATTTCACTGCCTAGTGGTGATCGAAACTAGATTGCCCGCACGCTATGATATTTGGCACAAACACCTCTGTCCTTGAGCTACGGCTCTCATTTGAGTATCGATTTACGTGTTAATACTTACTTCCTATCAGCCATTATGGAACACGCTTTTTTTCTCTGAAACAAATAATTTATTATTTCTTTTATAACATGGGCTTATGATGTAATGGTACTTATAATAAGTACTTAGTCATTTAATATGTAAGCAGTTGGTCACGGCGAACTGCCTTAACGAAGACTAGATATCTGCAAAGGACGACATTGTAGTATAAGAGTGTGTGAGCAAAGACATAAGTAGAGTAGGTACTGCTAAACTGCTGGTAAAAAACCGTCAACTTTTTGACTATGGCTATACCGAGAATGTTTTGACTGAAAAACACAATTACTGATTTTGCCGCCTAGATTGTCCGGTCCCGGGCCACGTACGTAGATCAGGTTAAAAAACTAAACTCATATATTTGTTTTAGCTCTGCGACAGTTTTTAAGTGCAAACATTGTGTCTTTGTCGAGCTGTTGTAACGTACCTACTCGTAAGTTGTTTTTGATTTGACTTATCTTTTAAAATACAAATTCAGCAGACAAACGCCTTTTATTGAACGAAAAAAGTTTACGTCTTAAACTTACTCGACTTTTTTGTAGTCATACGTTATTTAAAAAAAGATCTAAGCATCCATACGTTGCCGTAGTGGACGAATGACAAATGCCTAGTTGTTCAAATTATATAAGTTTTATGCTAAATCAAAAAAGTGTTATGTACTTTTCAAAAATAATTGAATAAGATTTTTTTATAAGATAAGGGTGACAAACGAGCACACAGTCCACCTGGTGGTAAGTGGTTGCTGTGGTCCATATACATCTACATCTATTCTAGATTACGAATAAAAATACTGATGCACCGTCACTTCAGATGGAATGCCTCGATTCCAGTAAAATAGTTCTCCGATTCTCTACGCTTTTTGTGATGTGTGTTATATACATTTATTGTATGTATCTAAGATTTATACTATTTATTGTATTTACCTAAGAATAAGAAGACAAAACATTTATCAGTATGGCCGCCTATTCACTTCTTGTCATTTGCTACTTGGAACTCACAATACCTGTTGTACATTAAATAGGGATACATAACGTATGTCTAAAGCGAAGGCCGTGTCGAAAGCGTTTTGCTAGCACGGCCAGCTTTGGCTGCTGCATCTTCTCTTAAAATGAAGTTAATTGAAAAAGAAAGTGATACAAATACTCCTCTAGGGGAAAACATTGGATGTGCACACCTCCAATGTCAATTCAGGGTGGCCGAGCCAGACAAATGGACGTACTTGAACGGCGAACTTATCCGTTCGCCGTATTAGCGGGCAAACATCTAAATAGTGCCAGTTATAAGTCGCTTATTACCAACGAGTTTGACGTCAGATAAATGCAATCGATGTTATCAAACCTTATGTTGAAATATCTTAGGATGAAATATCGTTACTTAACCCTTTCGCTTCGTGCTTTACACATTGGTCATTGCTATTGTCTTACTATTGTATCTAAAAACCGGACAGTGAAAGTGTTAAAATCTCAATCGAGGTTTCAACTTCAACCACAAGAGTGCCCAAAATTAGGTACCATATCCCCTTTTTTAGACTTTTATATACAAATAAAATCTATGTGTCTCTTTGTAATGTCAAAATAACAGCTTTTTTGTCCATGTGAAAGTATGTACGGTACTTGTAACAAAAAAAAAAACAATTTATAAAATTTTTGTCTGTCTATCTGTCTGTTTGTTCCGGCTAATCTCTGAAATAGCTGAACCAATTTCGACGGAACTTTCACTGGCAGGTAGCTGATTTTATAAGGAGTATTGTGATTTTTAACATGCTGCAGCTATATTAGTGGTATAGTTGTAGCACGAATGGGTCGGCTCGACCTTGGCAGGACCACGCTCTCACAGAATACCAGCGTGAAATAGCAGCTCAACTCTGGTGTGTTTCGTGATGGTGAGTATAGAGAACCGGAGATCCATTTTACTGGAATCGAGGCGTTCCATCTTAGTCCTCACGGGTGACAACGCATCTGCATTTTGACTCGTATTCGAGGAAAGATGTAGATTTCTATGGGCCACAGCAACCACTTACCATGAGGTGGACTGTGTGCTCGTTTGTCACACTTTTACAATAAAAAAGTAACTTAGGCTACTTGTGTTTTAGCAAAAATTTGGGTTCCGCGCAAAATAAATTAAAATCCATGTAATCTAATCGTAATAAATTCCACACGGATAAAGTCGCGAGGAACTGCTAGTAAATAATAAAATAACTTTGGCCCTACGCAATATCTGCTCTTCCAAGGGAAAGGCAAAGGAGAAGATGTAATATGAGGGCACACACCTAAGTTTGGCATTGGCGGTGACAATGACAGTCTCAAGTAAAGTGTGCCTCTGAAAAACATTGACTTATATATTATTAATAGCGCAAGGACCCGGCCGACCGAACAATCAAAACGGACTAGTGCGCTGGCCCTAAAATTACAGTTTAGGGCCAACGCGACTCGGTCGACAGTGGTGCGCGCGCAAGACAGATTTGCCTGTCGTAAATATGTCTAGTTGCGTGGTAAAAGGGTGCAAAAATTACGATACAAAAATTAAATAGGAACATGGGATAACGTATCATCGGTAAAATAACCTTATATTAATTTTGTTAATTAAATTATTATATAAACGCATTATTAAAGTTTTATTTTACAGTTAGTTTAGTTACTATACTTAGTTACGTTACTAAAATTAGGCCAAGGTTGGATTCAGACCCTCGAAAGTATTGTACATGGAAAATAAAATTAGGTATACTATTTTTCAAAAATTATATCGCGTTTGACGTTTCATGTTCCAAAATCCTGGCGTCACGCGTCTAGTTTATCTAAGTGTTTCGTTTTTTGCCCGTTTTATTTTTGATTGAATCAGGCGTTACTTTATATTCATTATAATAAAAAATTATTACTTTGCTACCTTCAGCTAACTACAATGATGTATCTTACCTGGATTGAAGACCACCTCCCGCCCTCCCTCAATTGCATTGCAATTTATTGCATAATAATTTTTTTATTAGTTTTATTTTTATTTCTATTTAATTTTTTTCTAAATAACTTAGTGTAAGTGAGATGAAAAGAGTACGTAAGAGAAACCATATCAGCTTAATTGAATCAGAAAATTATCTGATTCATAAGATATTTTGAAATTCTGTTTTCAAGCCGATTGTTTAGAGCTTAGAGTTTTTATCGTGGTAGCGCCTCATTATAAAGGTTGTATCAAGGATGCAACATAAATGCATCGATCGAGCAACGATTGACCAGAAAGGGAGCAAATTCTAATTTTATTAAAAAAACGCGATACTCATGTACAATACAGAAATTCTCGATATCGTGTGATTAATATTAAAAAGTAAAAGGACCAAATAATAATACAAGTAGACCTTAAAGTAAAGTTGTGGTATTATCGCTTAGCATTATTACGATACTGCATACTACAAACTATGAAATAATGGTATAATTAGGATAATAATTATACTACGAAATCCGACCCTGGTTACGTCGTGTTATATGTACGTTTGTATTATGACAGATGCGCTACTTTTTCTTATATGAAAAAGTTTTGAGTAAAATATTTAGATGGGCCTATCCTTCCTTTTGAAATCATTGCTGAAAAATTATTCCCAAGTTACAAATGAAATATAATTTTAAAATTAGTAAGTAAAGAACCATTATTGGTAAATAACCATCTTGATTACGCGTATATATTAATAAATCGCATCCTGAATGACACTAATTTATATTTTACCATGTTTCATTTTAAATTATTCTGAAATCTCGATGTTTCTAGTGCTGAAAACGCCTGTGGCTCCTCAAGGAGCTGGGAGTAACTATGTAACCCATGGCGAAGCAAGCGAAGTAGGCATCACAAATGTTTTAAAATATGGAAACGACAATTTATTTTATGCCCGAATTAATATTTCATCGTCATAGAGATAAGAGCTAATCTCTCAACTGAACTACTTTTATAAATCTCTAATTTACCTTTCCAATTTATTACGTATATTCACTTTTTATATTTTTTTTTCGGTTTTTATGCTATTTTTAGTATTTTAAAATAATGAATGCCACATTTCGTATAGCATGTCTATAGATGTTCTACAATGACACGTTTGACATTTTTGTTTGAATTTAGTAATATTTTTTATTTTTAAACTTTATTATTTTATCTTAACCGGTTCTTTTTACACCATATCCGTCGTATACAAGTCGGTCACATTATTGATCTATAAATATAGTCAACTTGTCCTCATGATACAATTGTGTTCGAATTTAAAATCCAATTCTGAGTTTACTTTCCTGTAGTTATATAAGTTTTTCTATTTAAGTGCCTGAAGAGGCGGATTAAATATCGACAGGCTAATGATCTGCAAGCCTAGGACGCTGTCTTCGACAGCTTACAAATCATCGGCGCCCCTCTGCTCCCTCTCATATATTTTATATTTTCTATTCGGTAAATTTCGCTTGTGATGCAATGACATCGCCTCGCCGCCACTAAATTTAAGTGTAACTTAGTTTATTTCAAAACTAATTAGATGGCTCTAGGCACGTGTACTGTACTTCTATATGCTAGCACTCCACATTCTAGAAAAATTTTCAAATTCCATACCTTTCCAAATTTTTGGAAATTCTTTTAATATTTAATATACTAAACTATAATGAAATTGGTACCACCAAACAAATATTTATTCAACTACGTTCGTTAAAATGTCTAAATATTTGTTTTGCGTAATTGTCAATAACATCGTCATAGTTTAAAGATAGCAATAAGTTTACTTCAATGATAAGTAGTATCATTAACGAATTTAATATTTTATCTATCATGCTTGATGCAAAGATAAATTTCTCTCTCTTTAGGCAAGAAAAACTTCGCTCGTCACTGCAATTGCTGACTGCCGTACACGCACATACTTCGTACTTATAAAAACTTTAGCACTCGCGTTTATTGTATTCTCGCGCCTCTAGGCATATTGTGCCTATGGTTTGCCATAAGGATAATCCGCCACTGAGTACCTGCGACGAAAGATACAAAATTT